GCTTTAAATAGCAAAAGAAAAAAAAAAAACAACAATGCACTTTGTGGTTTCCAGTAAGATACCGTAAATACACCCAGATAATATCCCGGTGCAAGCCATTCAGTGGGCCGCACAGGGCGGTGGAATGGAATCTTTTGGGCAGGCTTGGACATCAGTTTATTTCCTCTTTACCCTCCCGGATCATTATAGAGTAGGAATGCTGGGAGGGCGTCAGCTGGCTCCCCATTTTCATCTCAGTGATAACACCATTTTTTAGAGCACCCCTTCTAGGGGGCCCAGGAGCCTTACACTGAGGTTGGCTTTATCTCCATGGTGACTTGGCAGTGTCCTCTAGGTGGGTCCCATTTCACAGATGGGGAAGCTGAGACTCTGGGAGTTCTGGTTCAAGGTCACTCATCTGGATAAGGAGAAGCTGGATAAGTGAACTCCCTGGAATCTGAGTTCTGAGCTGAAACCGCCTGGGCTTCTGGATGGAAAATTTACCTGGAGATGTGGGTGGATTTAGAGTTAAGGACAAGGTGGAGGAATGAGGGCAGGGAGTCTTCTCTGGGAACAGGAGACCAGGGCTTCTAATCCCCCTGATCTTGCTGAGTCACTGGTGACCTTGGGCAGGTAGCTCAGCTTCCATGAGCCTACTCTTCCCAGAGGACCCCTCAGTGACATGATTTTACTACCTGCTTTCCTCCTCCCAGGAAGGCAAGGCTATGTCTGAATGTGCTACCTCCTAGTTCAGTGCCTGGCACATAGTAGATGATCAAGAAATATCATTAAGTCAAGGAACAGGGTGCAAGCCTTGGTCAAGAGAGCCAAGAGGAGGCCAGAGGTGGATGGAGGTTTTGCCTTTGCTCGTGGCCTGAAGAGAGAGGTGAATGATCAGGGCAGAGAGCAGTCGGGTCTGTTCCTGGAGGGCACATAGTCAGTGATGGCCAGGCCCAGTGCCCACTGTCCTCCAGCCCCACGTGGGAGATCTAGGCGTGTGCCTGGACTAGGGGTCTGCAGGACTGGAGCGAGGACCATGTTCTCGAGGCAAGACAGTGGCTCAGGCTCTGGAGCCGGGCTGACTGGATTTGTTTGAATCTGTGGCAGGTTACATCACCTCTCTGGGCCTCAATTTCCACATCTGTGAAATGAAGCTAATGACCACCTCCATTGCAGGCACGGTGCCAGGAGTGAGTGAACTGATCTCCACTGGGCACGGAGAATAGCTGGGCGCGGTGCACGCTCTGCTTGTTAAGAGCTGTGTGCCATGGAGCGTGCCATCTCATAACAGACCTCTCAGGGCCCCCCTTGCAGAGACCTTGAAGGCAAATGGGATGGCATTCAGGAAATCACACAGCTGGAGGGGCTCTCTCAGGCGGAGAGACGGGTCTTGCTAGAAGCACTGAGCATGGTCAGGGCCCAGGGGGATCTTCTGGAAAGGTGGACTTTGCATCCTGACTGTGCCTGAACAAGTCATCTCTTTGAGCCTCAGTTTCCCCGCTGCTGCTGCTATTTTATAAGGAAACTTTCCTCAGAGTGAGGGGGTGGACTCTAACATGCTTGTTTCCTGAGAGAGATTTTAAGTTTCCAGCCTCCTTCTCTACCTTCTTCCTGCCATCAGACCATGTCCTCAGCCTCGCAAGATGGCTCATCTGACTCCCATGGGTCTTTCACAGGGCTTATTGTTAAGTTTTACTTGATAATCATTGAATGGCATCTCGAGAGAAATAAAGACGTTCTGATATGGTTGCTGCCTTAAGCCAAAGGAGCCTCTCTCAGCCATGACCTTTAGATGCAGCGAGGACCCAGGCAGGGAGGTTGGGTGGGGCTGGGCAAGGACACGGCCAGCTTGGACCCACTATTCCAGCTCCGACTGGTATCTGGGTGGGTGGCCTCAGTGAATCACTTTACCCCTCAGAGCCTCGGTTTCCTCATCCTTAAACTTGTGAGGAATGGTGTCTGTCCACCAGGGCTGTTGTGAAATGCCATGCAGAGCACCAGGCGTGGGTCTGGTGCCTAGTAGGTGCTCAACAGATAAGGCTTTCTTCCCACCTTCCCCCCCCACCCCACCCCCACCCCCAGAAGCAGAGCACTAAACCCCATGCCTCTGGCCCATTCTGTGCTGACACCCTGTGCCAGCCTTGCTGCCTGATCTGGGGCGCTCAGGCCCTGCACCTGCCTGGTTGGAGCCTGCCTACAGGCTTATTGTCCTAAGGAAGACCTGAGCAGCCTTTTTCAGAGCACCTAGCGTGGAGCCTGGCAAGTAACCAGCACTCCCTCAAGGGCACGTGGCTGTTGGCCACTGTTTGGAACTTTCTTTCATCCATTCAGTTATTTATTTGAAAGCTATTTATGGTGCACCTACTGCGTGTCAGGCCCTGGGGACACAACAGGGGACATGACAAACTGCTTTCTAGGAAATTATATTCTAGAGAGCCAGTGGAGGTGGTAGGTGTGGTGTTAGGAACAGACAATAAACAAGAGTCTTAAATGTCAGGAGAGCTGTGCAGAAAACTAAAGTGGCGAGTTTTTCCCTGCACATCCCAGTACTGCCTGTAGGTCATCCCAGCGCCCACTGCCTTTTACTGAAGCACTGTCTACATGCCGAGTGATATTACTTCCATCTGCAGAGGTGGTGTTAACAGATAAGGAAATGGAGGCTCAGAGAGGTTAAGTGACTTGCCTAAGAGCATACAGCTTCTAGCAGGGTGGGAACTGGAACTCAGTTCAGTTCATTCACTCATCCCTCAGGTGTAATGGTAGAGGGGGATTGTAAACAGAGGGAGCAAGACAGATGTGGGTCCTGTCTCTTTGTGAGCCCCAAATCTGGCTGGGCAGATAGATGCTGAATTAGCCTCACCTACTTGCTTTGGGGTGAGGCTGTCTGGTCCCGCAGGGCATCATGGGGTGGGAAGAGGGGAACGGGACTCAGCAGTACTAGCAATAATTACAAAGCAGCTGGGGCCGACGCTCACTGGATGCTCACTATGTGCGGGTTGGGGGGGGCCTTGTCTGCGCCCTGTCCACTCAGTGGCCACGCTGCACGTCCCATAATGCCCACCACACAGAAGAAGAGGCAGAGGCTTAAAGAGGCCTCTTACATGGTGGCTGCAAGCCTAGGGCAGTCTCCTCAGTTGTCAGTGGCTTTAACAATGAGTACCTGGGTCCTGGGGACCTCTGAAGGCAAGAATAATGGTCTCTCAATAACAGGGCGGTAGGGGGCAGAGGTAAAAGCTAGTTTGGCAGGGAGGGGAAGGCCATGGCCCGTATGAGCCTTCACTCTGGCCTGCGGGTCCACCTTGAACTCAAGGGGGTTCAATGTGTCTGGGGTGCAGCTGCTTTCCCCCACCTCGGTGGGTAGCTTGGAGTTATGGCTCAAAACAGAAGCCATTGTTCTGCTGTTGTGCTTTGTTGCTTGTCTGGCCCCGACCACCTGCATCACCTTGCACTGTGCAGGGGCGCAGAGAGACCTAAGGACTGGATTCCATCATCGACTGTGTGGTAGAGCCATTGCACAAAGAATGACCACTGAATGGGCATTGGCTTCTCAGCCCTCCCCATCCTGCCCTCCTCCTATGGAGGAGTCTTCCAGAAAGGCAAGTCTCAGATGACAGGCAAGATGCCTGGACCCTTCCAGCATTTGCATACCCCATTCTTGGTCTAATCAAGGGGACACAGTCTCCTTTCAGTTGCTGGAGCTTGCAAGTACTGCCCCATGCACCTTGGAGTCCTCCCTGGGCACAGTTCTGGGGTCGCAGGGGGTATCCAGAGGTCATGTCTGCAGCTCAGCTCTGCTACCCACCGCTTGGGTAGCCTGGGCAAGTCAGACCTTTCTACTGGCCTTAATATCTACATCTGTAAATGAAAATAAATGGAGACTCCTACTCCTTACCTGGCCTGGACTCGGGGACCTCTTCCTCCAGGGTGCTGCCTTGAACCCCACCCACTCTGGCTATAAGAGCAACCCTGTTTTGAGCTCATGTGGCTGGCACCACAGGGCCCCCTACAGAGCGCATGGTTCATTTTCATCCTGTACAGTTGACTCTGCTCTCAAATCCAGTTTGAGGCCCAGAGAAGCTTAGCGACTGTAGCAGCACTCCTGTACCCTAGCTACTCAGTACCCTCCTGCTCCCACTAAAAACCCCAGAACCATCCTGCAGGGCCCTGGCAAATCCTTCTGGGTAGTTCCCAGTCTCCCTGCAAGACCATTTCCAAACATCTGGGAAGACCTGTGGGAAAGCCGCGTCTCAGCACCTCCTGCATCACCCCATTAAACCTTCCTATTGCTGTGCCTGCTCCTGCACCCTGGCATGGACTGTCACCCTCCTTTCCCCAGCCCCTGCCTCCCCTGTCAGGCGGAGGACACACATATCCCAGGTCCCAGCTTCTCTGGCAATGCTCAGAGTGTAGTGAGGGGGCTACAGAGAGGAGATGGAGATGAACCCCTAAAATAGCAGCTGACACCCACCAGTAACAATCAGGGCCAGAGGACAAGAGTTCTGTGTCAGGCAGCTGCCACGAGCCTGGTTCAGCGCTGCAAAGAGCTTCACAGGACAGACTCACGGTCTTCTGTGATCACCATGAGAAAGGTGCTCTTGCTGTGCACCTATTCTACGGGTGAGGAGGCCAAGACACAGGGAGGGTGGTCAACTGAAAGTCACTGGCATCAGGACCCAGGCCCTGGCTCCGGGGACTGTGCCCATGGTAGGTGTTCAAGAAATGCTATCTGTTGCCAGCTGCTGTGAGCCCTGTGCGCATGCAGACTGGGCCCATGTTGGATGTGGCCAGGAGTCGGTTGTAACAGAGGGGTCCCCTCATCTGACTTTCCACTGTCCAGTTGACTCCCCCAGGGCAGTCGGTGACTGGGGATTGAATGGTGTGCATGTCACAGAGGTGCTCAGGCATCGCTGTCACCCCTAAGATGGGACTTGCTGGTGAGGGTTGGATGCCGTGAGCTCAGCATCCTTCTTAGGCAAGGCACCCTGGGCCTGACCCTCATATCTCTGCTCTTCTCCTTGCAGGGAGCCGGGAGGCTGCCTTCACGTACGCCATCATTGCTGCGGGTGTGGCCCACGCCATCACAGCTGCCTGCACCCAGGGCAACCTGAGCGACTGCGGCTGCGACAAGGAGAAGCAAGGCCAGTACCACCGGGACGAGGGCTGGAAGTGGGGTGGCTGCTCTGCCGACATCCGCTACGGCATCGGCTTCGCCAAGGTCTTTGTGGATGCCCGGGAGATCAAGCAGAATGCCCGCACTCTCATGAACTTACACAATAACGAGGCGGGCCGAAAGGTAGGCAGCCAGGGAGGGGAGCCGGGCGCTGCGGCGGAGGTACTGCCCCTGGCTCACTGTGGCAATGGGTGCTGGCATCCAGGGGCAGGCCATAGGGCTCTGCCTATCACCTCTTCCTGCCGAACTCTGGTCACATTGCTGCCGGTCAGGATTTATGAGGTTGAAAAACCAAACTGTTAAATGAAAAACAAAATGAGAAGAGGGATAGATGCGAACTCTTCTCCTTGAGCCCACAAAATCAGCTGTGAAAACTATAGTGTGGGGAGAGGCTGAGGTGGATTCAGTGGGGTAGACCCAGTGGAACAGCTACCAGGGCAGCCAACATGTCCTTAGTCACCTTAACTAAGATCTGGAGCTCAAAATAAAGGAGATGATTGTTCCCTCTTATACTGCCTCCTTAGCTGCTCCTGAATTCTGGGCTCAGTTTAGAAAGTCAGGGCTGTTCCACAGGATGTTTCTGATGAAGGTGGCTGGGATAGAGAGGGTCTGGCTACCCCACCCCATAGGATTTGGCTGTTTTAGGGAGCAGATGGCTCTGTAGGTCCAGAGAACAGAGTGAGGGCCCATGGGTTGGGGGATGATCTAGAGAAGCAGGGCCTGTCAGCATGCGGACCGGCCGTCCCATAGAGAAGCAGACTGAGTTATAAAAGCAAGAGTGAGCTGCCCATCCCAGGAAGTATTTAAGCAGAGGCGGCTTGACCAGGCACCTCCGGCCACCCAAGTCAGTGCTGCTTGATGCAGGCCGCAACCTGAGGCTGGGAATGGGCTCTGTGAGGGATGAAGTACTCCCAGCCCACCCGGGGACCCAGGCTCGGAGATGTCAGAAGACACGTCGGGGGGCTCTGACACTGGGTGGAGGTCAGAGCCCTGTGATGACAGGACACATGCATGCACCTCTGGGGGCCACAGCACGGCACCCATGGGGTTTGGGCAGGAACGTGAAAGATGAGAACTGGGAATCCACACAGGGCTGCACTGAACCCTGGGTTGCCAGCCCCAGCTCCCTCCCCTGTGGCTTCTCGGGAATGTCTGCAGAGGGTGGGGGTGGGTGTCAGAGCCTCTGGTTTTACACTCAGCTTTCGATGTGCCACCGCATTGTTTTTAAGTCACCACAAGTCACCAGTAACTCAAAAAAAAAAAATGAAAAAGGTGGCCACAGACAGAGGCTTACACGTGTGTCTCCCGGCTGAGGGCAGACGGAGAGTTGTCTGTGTGGGCGACAGACTAGGTGGTCCCGTGCTGCTCAAGTATGTGGCGGCAGGCCAGCCTCTGGCCCTGACCGTGTCAGCTCACTGCTTCCTTATGGTGCTGCACCGCTCGCATGACAGGTGAGGAGGACATGGAAGCACAGAGCGGCCAGAGGGAGGCAGAGCCAGATGCCAGCCCAGCACCCGATTCCCTGAGTTGGCGTCTCTGCACCCCACATGCCCCTGCGGCACAGCTGCCGCGGGCTGCCTGGGTTCAGATCCAGGCTCTGTCACTCATTTCGTCCCAGGAAGGAAGCAGAGTTGGCAGCCTGTCCTCAGCGCTGAGGTCAGGAGGGAAGGAGACGGGGCAGGAGCGAACTCACCCCAGGGCCTGGCACGCAGCTAGCCCTCCACACAGGCGGGTGTGGCTGCCGGTCATGCAAACACGTGTCATGTGGAGGGGAGGCTATCTGGTGAGTGGTGTTGGGGGTAGCTGCACACCCTGGAGGGGAGCAAGGTCTCCTGTGTGCAGGCAAATGGGAGGGATAAACTGGCCCTTCCTCCAGCCTTCTTGGGCTCTCCCACCCTCCTGCCTGCTCTCCAGCCTCCTCCACATCCTGTGTCAGAGCCTTCCAGGCTGCCAGTGAGTCACACAGGCAGGGCTGCTCACCTGGCCTGCCCCAGGAGGATGTCCTGGGGTGAGTGGCAAGGCCCTGCCTGTCCAGTCCTGTGGCTGGGAGCATGTGCCTGGGGCCAGCACCCTCCTGGGTTCTCAGCTGTCGCTCCTTCTGTCTCTGTGGTCAGACCCCTTCTTAGGGTAGAGGTCATAGGTTATAGGCTCCCTCCTGCCCTTGCAGCTCTCACTCCCTGCGGGCAGATGGAAGTGAACCTCCCAGCCTCAGTTTCCTTCTGAAGCTGGTCTCAGCTACCTGGTTGGGGGCACTGTAAGAATGAAAGGTAAGTGTCTAGTCTGGGGTATGAGGGGTGGTATCTTCCAGTGGGGCAGGGTTGATGAGTTATGGCACTCTCGGGTGAAGCAGACTCTGGTGCTGTCAGAGGCCCTCAGACCTGCCCCAGGAGGCTCCATGGAGGGAGGTCTCACTGGGCAGAGAAGAGGTGAAAGGCAGCCCCGGATGGTGTGAGGAGGTGGGGGACCAAAGGCCCAGAGCTGGGAATTGAGGCCAGTTCAGACTGAGTGGTCTGTGGGTCCCCAACGGGTGACAGCAGCTGAGATGCCTGCAAGGTCAGCTGCCAGGGCAGGGACCAAGAGCCCGTTTCTCCTGATCTTCCTATGGCTGCCTCCTCCTTCCCATTCAGGTGTCGGCTCAGATGTCCTCTTCTCAGCGAAGCTCCCCTTTGATTCCTTCCTCACCTTTTCTTGGGTATTGCTTTGTTCCAGGGCTTTCTTCCCTCCTCTGCCATAAGCCTGATGAGGGCAGAGGTCATGTGCATCATTCACAGCTACCCCAGAGTCTGGCACGCAGAGGCGCTCTGTGTATCCAAGGAGTGAACGGCCGAGTCCCTTACGGTTACGAGGAGCCACTGCTGCTTCTGGAGAAGGACAGGGCGGAAGACAGAGTGAGGCTGTGGGTGGGGGGCATGGGGTCTGGGCAGAGTGCAGGCTGGGCCTGACCCGAGGACTCGGCCAGGAGTGGCTCTCCCAGCTCAGGGAACCCAGTGGTGGGAAGCTCCCCACTTGCCCAGTGCCACTCTGGCCAGGGAGGCCCCTTGAAGGTGGCTTTCTGGAAAGCGCTTTAACCAGGCACTCTGTTTTCCAAGCCAAGAGGTGGAATTTGGGATTCCCCACTGTACCCAGGAAAAGCCTGACCAACCACCAGTTCCCTTTGTGACTGGAGGTAGAAACCGAGGCCCAGAGAGGCCTTCTGCTCAGCCAGAGAACAGAAGGAAGGTGGCCTCGCAACCTAGCCTTGGGCTGGCCAGACCCTCACGCCCTTCCGCAGGGTTCCTCAAGGCCCAGTACATGCCCTGGGGTGAGTAGGATCAGTGTACATCAGTGTGCGTCAGTAGTGAGTTCACCCTTATCAGGACTTCAGTTTCCCTGTCTGTCAAATGGGACGATGACGTTCTACTTGTTTGGCTCTCCAGGTCCCAGGTCAGGGTCAGGGCCAGGTGAGGCAGATGGGGGGACCTCTATGATCCTGCTGCACACCATCGATTCGAAGGCATGCAGCCCACCCCAGAACCTCCCCTACAGGCAGCCGTGGGCCCCACGCACGGTGGAGGTAGGGAACCGACAGGCACGAGGAAAGGGCCCAGCCCGCAGCCACTCTTGGCTGAGCTCTTGGAAAGGATCACAGATGTGTTTATCACTGGCTCCCTCACTCCTGCTGTGAGGAGACAAGACTCAACCTGACCGCGGGCTCTGGGGCTTGTTGGCAGCTGGCTGGAGAGTAAAGGAGGGGGCAGGGAAGTCAGGTAGGGGGTGTGTGCACAAGGGGCAGAGGTGGCGGCAGACCCCAGGAGGGGACACCCAGGGCCTATCCTCTGGGCTGCTCCTGGGGCTGTCGGGGAGCCCACCAACTCACCTGGCACATGGGGGAGCATGAAAGTCTCCGGTCTGGGCCCAGCCCAGGTGGAGCCAGGCACTCACCTGCAGATGTGGGCCTAGGGGCTGGGAGGTGGGGGCAGTGCTGCAGATGGGGGGCTTTCCCCTCCCCCTCCCTGTCTCATCAGGGATGCCATCTGCAGGCTCCAATCAGAAGGGTCAGCTGAGAAGAGAGAAGTGGGGGTGCAAGCAGATTTCTTTGGGAGATGATTGTAGAATCCTAGTCTCTATTGGAAGTTGAGGGTCATAATATTTTGGAATGGAAATCACAGGCTGTTCAAGTTGAGACTATGGAATAGTAGCCTCAGTGAGGGGGTACAAATGGGAGGGAGGCAGGCCCAGAAGCATCCGGCTGAAATCTTTGGACGGCAGGATCTCTGTGGTGTCAAGAAACCTCCCCAGGCTTCTGAGTGGTGGGAGGTGAACTAACCACCATCCATGCCTCCATGGCACTCAGGTGAGGGAGAGGCCACTAAGGGGAGCAATCATTATGGTCCAGGGATGCACGACTTTTCGACAGCACTGAACAGGAGAAGTAAATACAGAAGGTGCAGAAAGGAACTCAGAGCAGGGACTGGCTCCCTCCAGAAGTCTGAAAGTCTCTAGGTGAAGAAGAGGCGATGGCTTAGCAGAGCTCTGAAGATTCAGCAGGAGTCCTCCAGGTGCGTGAGGCAGTTGGGAAGGAGGAGAGTCCAGCATGTACAAAACCTGCAGTCCTAAAAAATCATGGTGGGTGCAACTCCGTGCGTCTGGAGAGAGGGGGTCATGGGTGATGAGGCTGGGGACATGCACAGGGCAGGGAGTGGGACCATCCCCTCTGCCACCATTTCTGATGGTGGTGCACACAGTGGGCAGGTCTCTGGCTTGCTTCATAGAATGAAGAAGGCAGGGTGGCAGCTGGTGCCCATCCAGCAGTGGCTTTGGGGTGGCCATGGAGGGGGCACAGCTGTTTAAGGAGGAGAATAGGTTGGGCCTGCCTCGGGTAGCATTTGGGACAGAGGGTGGGTGCCACCCCCGACTGGGCCAGGAACTGGGGTGGGAGGAGACCTGTCTTAGGAGAGATGATTGGGTGTTTTGTTCTATGATAATGGGAGATCCTGTGGGCAGCAGGCAGAGATGCCCAGGGGCCACTGGGTGCCTGGATCTTAATTCTGGAGAGATCTTGGCTGGAGCCACTTTCTGGTGGCCACTGGGGGGAGGTGGTAACAGAAGCCCTGGCATTTGGCAGGAGGAGCCAAGTGAGAAAG